AGAGAGAGAGAGAGAGAGAGAGAGAGAGAGAGAGAGAGAGAGAGAGAGAGAGAGAGAGAGAGAGAGTGTTACATGCCCAGTTGGGCGATGTACATGTAAAACCGAGGATCCGCAATGTTACAAAAAGGACTGAATGGACAATGTAGTGCAAGTGGAATCTCAACGAGCAATGTGCATTCCGATACATACAAAATGGTGTTTTATAGCGCAGTGGAAGATTTAGACATAAGTCCTGACCTGACCGGGACTGACCTCTTTCACATAGTACAAGATAGCGAAGTAGAATGCTAGAAAACTAATGACTAGCCCAATCAATGTTTCAACGCAGACCAAACATACATCATGCTCATCACAAGGTGTGAAGGGGCCTGGCGCTATACACATGAAAGAGGCGCCAGGTCCAGACATACACAGACGAAGAGGAGGGGATCAGACGAAGAAGAGGAAGGGGGAGATGGGAAAGTCGCCAACACCAAGTCTCATTACAAGTCCCATATAATCCCTCTTCAAAATGTTTGAAGTCCAACGTCGAGTCTGGATCCAAATGTCACCAAGCTCTCTCTCTCTCTCCCTCGTAGTCTGCTGATGCANGAGTCTGGATCCAAATGTCACCAAGCTCTCTCTCTCTCTCCCTCGTAGTCTGCTGATGCAGTGAAGTCAGATAGCGAGAGGGTGAGAAGGAGATGGTGGACTGAGAAGAGGAAGAAGAAGAACTCTCTCTCCCATGTGCCATGTACTAACCTGTGAAGATGGCGCTGTGCTGCAGGTACCTCGAAGACGAAGCTGGAGCAATGGCGCTGCAGGTAAGTCTCCCTGGCCTCCGCCCAATCTCTCTCTCTATAGTACTACTCTAGCTGCTATGGCGCCCAGCGCTGAAGACAACAGCTAACGCTCCTAGCGCCCAGCGCTGAAGACTAATGCTAACGCTACTACTACTACTGCAGCGCTCCTCCTGAGTGCTGCTGCCGAATCCTGAAGACTACCTCCTGCCTCCTGAACTGCACGTGAAGTGCCTGGGAAGTACCTAGGAACTACCTGCCTGCCTGCAGGGCGGGCCAGTCCTATATAGTGCTGGCCCGTCTAGGAGGCTGCTCTTGCCAATGCCGAAACGTGCCAGACCCTGGCGTTGAAGCTCAACCAGCGGTTGTCTTGAAAACACGCCCGAAATGGCCTGTGCTAAAACCCTGGTTTGTTGCCTGAGTTTCAGGGCAGGTCGAACTGATGAGGGCCCGGAAATGGCCCTCAGTTTCAGGCCGAAAACACTCAGGGCCAGAAAGGCCCTGATTTAGCTTGAAACGACACAGGGCCTGTAGGCCCTTGTTTTCAAGCTTTCAGGCTGAAACGACACAGGGCCTGTAGGCCCTTGTTTTCAGGCTTTTGGCCTGAAAACGTCACGGGCCTTGAAATGGCCCCTGCAGCCTGTTGCAGGCGCAGCATGTAACACCCCCCCTCCTTATGAAGTCAAGCCGGGTCAAGGGCGAAGCTGATGATCTGAAGGCGGAACTTGGACGCGGGTGCGATGTGGAGCCAAAGATACTCGCTTGCCTTGCATTTTGCGTTCGTAGCGTGCGAGAACATCCGTAGCTGTTGCTTGGAGTTCCTCACGGGTCAACCAACGGTCAACTTTGTGAGTGCAGTACGCAAAATGTACCAAGTACTTGGTTGGCCTGTTGTCGTAGCGTCGCTGGGAGATGATGTCGCCGACCTCCTGAAAACCGTCCATAGAGGGTGGGTCTTGCGAACGTCGYCCGGGAAAATCGTCATGTTCCGCTGGCGTGTAAAGAGCCAACTTGGAGCAATGAAAGACTGGGTAGACAGGCAAGTGGGCGGGCACTTGAATAGGGAAGGAAGGTCCCTCGGGTGCATCCCCAGCGGGTGTCACAATTGGCCAGGGCCCCATCCATTTCGGGAGGAGTTTGCGAGAGATATCTTGTTCAAGGCTGAATTCCGTGGCGGAAACCCAAACGAGATCGCCGACGCGGAATGGGCAAGGAAGACGCTGGTGATTGGCCTGTTGGCTCATGCGTTGCTGAAGTCTTGGCCATCTGGTCGCGTGCCTTGACAAGTAGCTCTTGCATCCGACGCAAGAAAAGAAGATGGTCGTCGCTCTTTCGTGGAATGATTGTGTCCAACGGCGAAGTGACCGGCGAGCCGTGCTCGGGCGACATCTCGATAGCCGGGTGGATGGACGAGTTGTAGGCCAACCCGACATCCGGCAGCCGCTCAACCCAATCCTTATGGTCGGGGTGGATGAGAGTGCGAAGGAGAACCTGTGCGGTCTGATGCGCCCTCTCCATTTGGCCATCGATTTGGGGGTAGCGAGCCGAATTTGGCTTGAGAGATTAGCCCCATCGTTTGATGAGCGCCAACCAAAAATCGGACATGAACCGAGTGTCGCGGTCGCATACGATTTCCTTGGGGTAACCCTTGGTTCGAATCGAACCGGCGTAAAGAACCTCGGGCAACTCCGATGCCTTGGCATGATAGCGGCAAGGCAAAAGCATGGCGAACTTGGTGAGTCGGTCGACCACCGTGAGAATCCCATCCACGCCGGTCTTGTGCTTGGGGAACGGGCCGGTAATATCCATGGCAATCGCTTCCGTTCGCCGCAAGGGTACTGGTAATAGTCGCATCTCGCCGTACGGACGATGGTTGCGGGATTTGCAGTGTCGGCAAACCTCGCATGACTCGCAATAGCGTGTGACGTCGCTGAGAAGGCCGGGTCACCAAAATCGCTCGCAAAGTCGGCCAATCGTGCGATTGACTCCAAAGTGTCCGGTGGCAGGAGCATCGTGGAACTCGCCAAGAAGCCGTGTACGCAAGTGAGGGTCACTCGGTACGCAAAGAAGGTCACTCGGTACGCAAAGAAGGTCCTTCCCCCGTGTGTGGACAAGCAAGTACCCCCCTTGGATCCGGTAGTGAGAAGGCGCCGGATTAGGAGAGGAGCAGTTTGCGTCCTTGTCGTGAAAACTCGGGGTCAGCTTGGTAGCCGCGGATGAAGTTGTCCCACAGGTCGTTGTCGATCTCGAAGGTTGAATAGACCGCGGTACAATGATCCGGACGCCGTGAAAGAGCATCCACAAAACAGTTCGACTTCCCCAGAATGTGATCGGGAAAGAAGTCAAACTGGTCGATGAAAGCCATCCATCGAGCGATGGTGCTGTTGACGGTGTCTTGGGTCTTGTAAAAGACCAACATTGTTGTCCGTTACCCATCGGAATTGGCTTCGACCAAGGAGGAAGTGCCGCCACCGCTTGAGCGCTTGGACGAAGGCGAGGAACTCCTTCTTGCATGCATCGTCAATGGAGTGCACGACGGGCACTTTCTTGCTGAAATACTCGATCGGGTGCCAGTCCATGCCATCGTGTTGCTCGAGGACGACACCAATGCCATAGTCGGATGCATCCGTAGTGACGAGCGTAGGCAAAAGCGGGTTGTATATGCGCAAGACCTCCACAGATAATAGCGCGGCTTTGAGAGTCGAAAATGATTCCCGCGCATCCTCTCCGAAGTCAAACGGCCGATCCTCGCATTGAAACTTGGCCAAGTGGGCCGTGATCTTCGAGTAGCCCTTGATAAAACGATGATAGTAGCCGGTGAGGCCAAGGAATGAACGGACATCTGTGACGTTCTGTGGCTCCGGCCACTCTTGGATGGCTTGAATCTTGTCCGATAGCGGACTGATGCCCTCTGGTGTGACAAAATGACCCAAGTATTCCAGCTCTTGCCAGACAAACTCGCACTTGTCGCGGTTGGCCTTGTACTTGGCGCGGCGGAGCGTCTCCAACACTCGTCGAAGGTGCTCAAGATGATCCACCAATGACCGTCTATAGACGAGAATATTGTCTAAGTAGACCAACACGAACCGGTCCAACATTGCACGAAACTCGTTGGTCATTGCCGCTTGAAAGGTCGCCGGGGCTTTGGTGAGGCCAAAAGGCATGACCACCCATTCAAAATGCCCATACCGCGTCTTGAACGCGGATTTGTAACGATCGTTCGTTCGGATCGAGATTTGATGATATCCCGACTTCAAATCCAACTTAGAAAAATACTTTGCGTCGCCCAATCGCTCAAGAAGATCGTCGATGCGAGGAAAAGGCCCCCGCATTCTTGACGGTTTGCGCGTTGAGCTTGCGGTAGTCGATGCACAATCGTAGATCTTTGTTCTTCTTCCGTACGAAGAGAACTGACGCTCCGTATGGAGAGCCACTAGGGCGGATCCAGCCCTTGTCCAACAAATCATCGAGTTGCGGGCGGAGGACCGTAAGCTCCTCCTCGCTCATGCAATAAATGCAACCTTTCAGCGGCACGACACCGGCCTCAAGAATGATCTCGTGAGAGATCGGCCGATCCGGCACCACACCATTAAGTGACTCGAAGATGTCAGCGAACTCGTCAAGCAACCGCACCACACGGGGGTCCGAAGACAAGGCCGTGGGTGAAGAGTCGGCTACCGCGACGGTCCGTAGGAAACATAGGCCGATTTCGTCAGGCTGCTTGTAAGCACAAGTAGCCCGGAATGTCTTGGCCGTCACCATTTGGCACCGAATCGAAGGGTGCGGAAGCGGAATATTACACGACACTTCGACGCCGAAGGCGTCGCGAATGGTAAGAGTCCGCCGGTGGAAGTAGACCGTGTGATCTGCACTTGCAAACCAAGGCATTCCCAAAATAATGTCGAAGTCCGTGTCCAAAATGTCAAATGTCACCGGTTCGCATGCATGAGGTGCGAGATACACCGGTACGGCCTCAATGTAGCGATCGATAAGTTGCTGCGTCCTTCCGTCCGCCAACTTGATCGCCGTCGGGTTTGCCTTCCTTCGAACTTATGCGTCAAGGCCAGCCTTTTGCATAAAGGCTTGACTCATAAAATTGCGAGACACGCCGCTATCCAGCAAAGCGCTGCAGGACGCTTGCCCAACTTGGATGCGGACATAGAGGAGCGGTGCGTTGTTGTCGTCGTACCGTTGATTGTGAAACTTGCGGGCCACGTTGGTAACATACGCAAGGATGTCCCCCACCGCGACTTCGTCATCCGTCGGTGAAGTTGGTGGTGCATAGAAGGATAAGTACGTGTGAAGATGAGCGCGTAATGCTGCTCATTGCAGTCCCGACAAGCGGCCCGTGGTCGGGGGAGGAAGCCATGCGAAATCCTCGGACGTGAGCGGGTCCAATACCTCTATGTTGAACTCGCGCGCCGAATCCCGTGAAGAACCACTTAAAGATGATAAGTCGTCGTTGCCGGACGGAGAAGATGTCGCACACACGTCTTGTCCTTTAGCATGAGTACCTAGTGCAGGAACGAGTCGGGCAGCATAGTCCTCAAAAGAATAAAGAAGAGGAGGACTATCGACTTCCACATGTGTCTCGGAACGAAGGGCGGTCACCCGCGAAGTGACCGGTTCCGAAGGTGTCGAGAGTGTCGTCGAGTCACTCCCGACGGTGCTCCGTTTTCCGATTCGCCCTTGCCTTTCGAGTGGCAGACCATTGTGTCATGGAGATCGCTGTGACACCAAATACAATAGTAGAATCTCGTGCGTGCCTTGAATGCTTGCTCGGAGATACTGTAATAGGACCATGGGGCTGGAGCTCCTGCGCCGGGCCCGGGCCTAGATGCGGTATTTGTCTTCGCCTTGCCGCATCCTCGGCCTTTGTCGGAGCGGCCACCTTCCCGGGCGGCTGCGAGTCTGTCCCCTTCATTGGCAGACACGACCTCGCTAGTTTGGTCGTTTGGCGTTGCCGCCGCGACCACGACCACTTTCGGCCGATGCTGATCTCTGCTCAGGCCTGGCGCAGGCGAACGCTGGGGATTCTTGGCCTCCTTGTTCATGACAATAATCTGTGCGACCGTGTCGAAGAGTTTTGCCGGTGTCGTCAGGGTGTCCTCGACGTGAGTCAAGGCATTTCCCAACGCCGGACACGACCTCGAGATGAAGTAGTGTTTGATGGCTTTGAATGTCTACGACGGATGTCAAGCGTTGGTACTCGACAATCCAATCAACACTCGGCAGCGTGCCTTGTTCGAAGACCATCAGCTAGTCCATTGCCTTCATCTCCGGCGGCTCTACTTGGAACCGCTTATGCCACACCGCCTTTAGATCATCCCAATTGATCTTAGAAAGCAAGTTGGCAACTACCACTCCGTACTTGGACAAGAGATTGTCCAGCCATGCTTGGCACGCGCCCCCCGAGCGGGAGTATACGTACCTGTGGTGCTTGTGTTCTTTGACGTAGTGTAGCTGTAACGTGAGCTCGAACTTGCGGAACCATGAAATCGGATCTGTCTTCGTCGACTCGCAGAAGATCTCCTGCCCATCGAACTTTGGAGCTGTCTCACACGGTTCCGAGCTCAAGTGGTTGGCGGCAGTACAGATCCGTTGTTCCAACTGTTGTGTTGCGGTTTGCTGTAACTGCACGCCGTCCTTGAGGGAGCCGACGTCAATCTCCAATGCCTCGAGGCGATCGGAGGTGTTGGAAGAGCTGGCATCGGGGGCGGCGACAGGTCGCTGCTCCAACTGCCGAAGGCGGCCGTGGACTTGAGTCAACGCGTCGTCGAGGCTGTGGATGTCCTCCTGCTGTGTAATGCATGAGCGATCTTGTTTTCACTGTCTTCCATCTTGCCATTCTCGGCCTCGGCCTGCCAATCTGCTGCCATTGTGAGCAAAGCTTGCTCTCCGCTGAATATCTTCTTGCTACTTTAGACTCGTTCTTCATCGGCAGCCATTGCTGCTGCCTCATCGTGCTGGCGCTGCTGTTCAATTGCCAACAGACGTGCCTTCTCGGCGTCCTCTGGTTTCTGCTTTGCTGCGGCTGCTACTGCATCCGACCGTTGCTTAGCTTCTGTAATCAGAAGCAGCATCCGGGCCTGATACGCCTCGTCCGTTTCCCCGGACTTCTGGTCCATGACAGTTCTTTGCGAGCGCAAAAGCATAGACCAGGCCGGGGGCCAGCTGACGTGGTACTCCCTGCTGCTGATCTGGCACTGCTGTCGGCTGACGTGGTCCGCTGACGTGGTCTGCTGATGTGGTCTTCTGACGTGGTCTGCTGACGTGGTCTGCTGACATGGCCTACTGACGTGGGAAAATGGTACTGCAAGAGGGATTTCCCGTACCGTTTTCAGAAAAACGAATTTCGGAAAATAAATATTCCGAATTTCCAAATAACGGGAAATTGCAAAAGGAGATCGAAATTTTCGAGAAAAAGATATTCCAGATTTCCAACAACGAAATTTCGGATTTTCAGAAGAAAACAAAAACGGAAATTTCAGATGTTGCGCTATTGCGATTTTCCACAACAGATATAGCGGGAAAAGAAAATCCAAGAAAAGAAAAAAAAAAATCGATTTTCGGCAGTGAGGTCAAAATCATGATTTTGGGGGCTAACTAGTGTGCTCTAATCAATCAATCAAGACTAATCAGCTACCTAGTCCCCGCACACGTGTCAGATCAGGTTGTCTTGATTCACGTGTAGTGTTCTGATACCAACTGTTACATGCCCAGTTGGGCGATGTACATGTAAAACCGAGGATCGGCAATGTGATAAAAAGGACTGAATGGACAATGCAGTGCAAGTGGAATCTCAACGAGCAATGTGCATTCCGATACATACAAAATGGTGTTTTATAGCGCAGTGGAAGATTTAGATACAAGTCCTGACCTGACCGGGACTGACCTCTTTCACGTAGTACAAGGTAGCGAAGCAGAATGCTAGAATACTAATGTGTGCCCAATCAATGCTTCAACGCAGACCAAACATACATCATGCTCATCACAAGGTGTGAAGGGGCCTGGTGCTATACACAGGAAAGAGGCGCCAGGTCTAGACATACACAGACGAAGAGGAGGGGATCAGACGAAGAAGAGGAAGGGGGAGATGGGAAAGTCGCCAACACCAAGTCTCGTTACAAGTCCCAAATAATCCCTCTTCAAAATGTTTGAAGTCCAACGTCGAGTCTGGATCCAAATGTCACCAAGCTCTCTCTCTCTCTCCCTCGTAGTCTGCTGATGCANGAGTCTGGATCCAAATGTCACCAAGCTCTCTCTCTCTCTCCCTCGTAGTCTGCTGATGCAGTGAAGTCAGATAGCGAGAGGGTGAGAAGGAGATGATGGACTGAGAAGAGGAAGAAGAAGAACTCTCTCTCCCGTGTGCCAGGTACTAACCTGTGAAGATGGCGCTGTGCTGCAGGTACCTCGAAGACGAAGCTGGAGCAATGGCGCTGCAGGTGAGTCTCCCTGGCCTCCGCCCAATGTTTCTCTCTCAATAGTACTACTCTAGCTGCTATGGCGCCCAGCGCTGAAGACTACAGCTAACGCTACTAGCGCCCAGCGCTGAAGACTAATGCTAACGCTACTACTACTACTGCAGCGCTCCTCCAGAGTGCTGCTGCCGAATCCTGAAGACTACCTCCTGCCTCCGGAACTGCACGTGAAGTGCCTGGGAAGTACCTAGGAACTACCTGCCTGCCTGCAGGGCAGGCCAGTCCTATATAGTGCTGGCCCGTCCAGGAGGCTGCTCTTGCCAATGCCGAAACGTGCCAGACCCTGGCGTTGAAGCTCAACCAGCGGTTGTCTTGAAAACAGGCCCGAAATGGCCTGTGCTAAAAACCTGGTTTGTTGCCCGAGTTTTAGGGCAGGTCGAACTGACGAGGGCCCGGAAATGGCCCTCAGTTTCAGGCTGAAAACACTCAGGGCCGGAAAGGCCCTGATTTAGCCTGAAACGAAACAGGGCCTGTAGGCCCTTGTTTTCAGGCTTTCAGGCTGAAATGACACAGGGCCTGTAGGCCCTTGTTTTCAGGCTTTTGGCCTGAAAACGTCACGGGCCTGGAAATGGCCCGTGCAGCCTGTTGCAGGCGCAGCATGTAACACACACACAAAGAGAGAGAGAGAGAGAGAGAGAGAGAGAGA